TTTGCTGCAGCTCCAGCAAAGTCAATCTGTGTGAGCAGACGTTAAAAACAAAGTCGGTGATTCACAACATCATCAAACAACATCAAACAACATCAAACAATTTATACCATGAAAAATAAAAACTATGTGTTTCATTCATATGCATTCATTCATGAAAAAGGCAATGAGTCATTTTAAAGTCAATAATCAGAATAATTATCACAACCTAAAGAAGTCTCTGAGGGATCCGTCATGGCCGTCATTCTCCTCTCCGCTGAAGGAGATGATGGGTGGCGTCCTGAACGAGAAGTCCGGCCTCCTCACCACCTCTAGAGCACTTTGGAGGAGGGCTTTGCTCCTCACCTGGATGTGAAATTCTCCGTCCCGACCCCTGTTCTTCTGTCTGAACAGTCTCAGGATGCAGTCGAGGTCACGTGTGAACTGCACACCAGCAGGAGAAGGATAGAGGAAGACGTAGAGGAAATGGTCTTTTTTCTTTTCTACCAAACAAATATTGGGCCAAAAAAGGTGGATTTGTAACATCTGCAGTATAGAGAACTCACCTCCTCTGGTTGGGTCGGTCCTCCCAGTTGTTGGTATTTTTCCGAGCAACTTTTGTTCCCCAGACAAAACTCCTTCCTGGCAAAAGAAGCACATTCATATATTCATACCCAGGGAATTCAATTACACGGTTCACAATTCATCATTTTTAATTTGTAAGAAAAAACCGGAACTGCTTTTTCACCGGTTCACCACAGCGGCCTTGCTTGCTTTCATCTCGGATTCTGCCTGTTGAGATAAGAGTATTTAATTGTCTGTACTTTGAACAAAAATGTAGTTTAATAAATTAGTTTAAATTGATGCACTACTGAAAACTAAAATAATCGCACACTTTCACAACCCAAAATGATCTGTTTGAGACCCACGTGGTATCCTAAAAGACAAAGGACAATGATTCTGGAGTTATGGCACAGCTAATGCATTGAATGAACGGCATTTTACAGATCCTGCGTAGTGCAGACTTATGGAGTTGACACAAGACAGTTGGAGGCTCAATCACTTTATTTTTGTTAATGCATTTAAATGTGTGAATTAGAGTACTTCCTCCTACTACTTCCTTAAATCAGAACTGCAGAAGCACTTGTGGTTTACCTGTGGGTAGTCCTGTTGGCTGAGGATGTACAAAGCACCATGTCCAGAGATCCTGAGTACCTGCTCACCAGTCCAGCCCTCTGCAGGAGTGTCTGGGACGAATAGCAACCCAGAGCCCATGACACACTAGAAAGTACACATACCATCAGACACATACATGCATAAAAGACGTAGAAGAATAGCAGGGAAACTGTAAATGTAAAGTTAAACAGGCTCCCACAGGGACAGAAATACACACCTGCAAAAACGTGAAGCTGAACCTTTGTCCCGCTCGTTTTACAAAACGCCCTCGGAAGAGCATTGCCAGCCGACTCTCCATCTGATTGGTCGACCATTCATAATCAATGGAGATGCGAGCAGTCATTCCCATGGCGACTAGAGCTGCTTTTTCCCTGCCTCGAGGAACAGTGCGTCTGAAAGAACAGAGGCGAACACGTCCTTTATTTCATAATAATATCTGTACTAGATATTATGTACATCACGTAAAATTGGCCTTTCGCTCAATAAAACATATGATGGAATAAGAGAGGTCCTGGAAACACTTAATCACCAACGATGGAAAAGATGGTCTTGCACTACAATAACAAGTTTCACCTCTCCAGCTGTGCCAGGTAGTGTCCTCTGGGGAGACAGACCACATCTTTGACCACCAGTCCTGTCTTCCGCGGAGGGTGTCTTCTCCACTTAAGACGACTGGCTTTGTTTGGGAATGGCTGCAGCTCACAGATATCACACAGTCAATCATCGGAAAAGTAATCAAGAACAAATACCTAATAGTATTCAATAAAGTGAAACCCTAGGTTCAAACTGATGGTCAGCTGAAAAAGCATCTTGCTACGAAGGAAACTATTGGGCCTTTGCCCTTATTTTCTGACATTAGATAAGATAAGAGATAAATGTTGATTGATTGAATCAGTCAAAAGGCTTTGTTTGGTTTCACGTTTTCTTTCTGGACTCAGAGTTATTGCACAACAGCCCTCTATTTCTACCAATACACAAAACCCCACACAATAACACTTTCACATTGTTGCGATGGAAGCAGGCAGACCAGAGAACCAAACAGCAGTTTCCTCCTCCGTGTTTGCACACGTCACCGAGGCTGATCAGGAAATGAATGAATAAAACCTGAGGTGACATACCAGGGCCACGATGGAAGCATCACCTGGTTTGATTGCCATTTGCTCACGATCACACTCTTGGAGGGGAGAAAACACCTGAAAGAAAGAGAAAGCAGATGATCTGGTTGGGAAATACAAAAACCTGACATGCTAAAGGAAGCTGCTCAACAGTTTGTATTTCATTCACAAGCTGTAGGTTCAACTCCTTTTAAACAGTTCATGAAGTGGGGATGGGACGATCGTTTGAATTGTTGCTCTTTCCATTTGTTCATTTATATGCCTTCATGCTTCACTAATACTTACTGACCTCCATTTCTATGTGAATATCCTTCACGAATCCTTGGAAAGGAGAGCAGGGCTCCGTTTGGGGCTGTGCCTGGTTCCCTGAGGGTGCGTTCTGGACCTCTGGCTCTGGTTCCTCCTCACATTTGGGTACGAGTGGATTGTTCAGGTGTTTCTGGGTTCAAGAATAACAAAATAAAAATAATAATTCGCCATACGTTTTATAAGGATTTGCAATATAACTAGAAAATATATTTGGGATTTGGTTTATTTTGGTTGAAACATTTAATCTACTAGTACTATATATTCTCACTTGCCAAATGTAATTGGTATCCGTCAGTGGTATCCAATTTGATCAGTGATTGGTTTGTAAAAGGAATCTCACTCCTTTTAAACTACAGTTCCAACTAGATTCTTGGTAGGTTACAAATAAAACGGATAACATTTACATACATAAATTTGGTACAAAGGCCTTTTTTTTATATCTCTTAAGTCTGAAGGTATGAGCTCACATTTTGCAGAGAATACCATTTGTACTTTCTGTTAAAGAGAACAAGACATTATGAAACACAGAAATAGCAGTTTGAGGATCATTACAGTCTTGTTCTAGTTCAAATGTCTTATTCTACCCGAATGCTCAATGGCTCAATTAAAGACAGAAGACGCACCTGGTCATAGCTCTGTTCTTCCTCCGTCTCCTTTGTTGATGTCCCCATGCAGGGCTCCCCTGAAGAAAACAGCTCCATCTCAATGTTGTCTGTGAGGGTCAGCGAAGCCACATTCTTTTCGCCCAGCTTCATCTTCTCTGGTGGAACTTTTTATCTCAGTCTTTATATCCTTTCCACTATATGCTCCACTTTTTGTCAGAACCAACTTCTTTTACTCTTTCTGCAGTTTACTCTTCTCGCACCTTTTTGTTTTGTCCTTGCTTCAGCTTTCTCTTGCTCTCCATTTATTACTTGATCTTTTGTCCACTCATGTTTTTCATGTACTGCTTTCTAATGCCTAATCTTCCTTTCCACCCAAAACAGTTGAAACTCCAAACAGTGGTGGACCTCCGAACATCTGAGCTCTCGTTACCTCAAGGTGTGATCTATCACAGGTTGACACTGATTGGCTCAGAGCGATGCTCTCCAGACGTGATTAGATCTGTGGACTGTGCTGCAGTTGTCATTGGCTGAGAGGTTTGTGATGAAGCTCTAGTTGGTTCTGCAGTTTCGTAAGAGTCGCACGCTTGCCTGTTGTTGGTTTCGGAGCTTTTGAATAGTTTATTCCAAGTTCTCCATAACGAGTCAATGTGCTAAAATGAGTTCCGGCACATGAAAGGTCAGATAAACTTCAGAAAGAGATGATTAACAAGATTGAAAAGACAAATACACAACTACAGTCATTAATCAACCCTTTACACATTTGTTGTGTCCTGCTTCATTAACCCGATGATTTAGCCCAAAAAAATAAAACTTAAAAAAAACGGAAAAAGGAAGTTGTGAAGAAGAAAACCAACCCAAATATGTTCATGGGCTAGTGGTTTTGTTGACATTGGGATCACATTTGGATAAAGTCCAAAGACTTGCTGATTGAGGAAGTAAACAGTTTTCCACATAAAATATATCACACTTTAGAAAAGGTTTTAAGAGTTTGAAGACACAACAGAATGTGTTTGTTTTTTTATTTGCCTGCTTCAATAACCTAATAATTTAGCTACTTTTGATTCATGAATATCTCATAACTGCATGTAAGCTACAGGAACAAAAGGAGTAAAATTAAAACCCATATTATGTGAACACTTTTCTCAAAATGTCTCTTGTCTTTGTTAATTACTGCAGCAGAAGCAGTGCCCTACTGGCTCACTTTTAAAATCTTGCTTAACACACCTCATTCCTGTGGTGTCAAAATCTGTAATCAATGTCAGTCAACTGAGTCGGCAACGCAAGGAATCCATTCAAAGACTCACAACAAACGTAACAGGTTACACCATGAGACTTAAAACGCAGTGACCCATGGTATTGAAACAAAAAATAAAGAAAGTCAAAGAAAGTTGTGAGCAAAATAAAAAACCCAATTATTTTCATGGGCTTGTAGTTTTTTAGACATTGGAATCATATTTGGATAAAGTCCAAAGACTTTCTTGTTGGGTAAGCAAACAGTTTTCTGCATTCCTGAGATTTCACATTATGATAACATTATGTTTCCACAGAACAGTGGGATTAAAGATTCCACAGAAAAAGGGTGGTTATGAGCCATAACAGGGTGGTTATGAGCCATAACATCAAAGGTTTTCATATTCCACTCCTAAGGTTATATGAGTTTGAGGACACAACATTTAGTTTTATTGTTTGTTTTTAACACTGGATCAAAAAAGGTTTAGGAAGAAAATCTAGTGGTGGACGCTGCAGCTTTCAACTATACACTTATCAAGGTCCTGGTTTCAATATCCACAGCACTTGTTTCAGGATTACAAACTGTTAAATAATAAATAACATAAAAATATACCATTTTTATAATAGCTTGACATTTAACACATACAGTAAGGTCCACAAAAAGACACAACCCAATGTTAGGAATGTGGCAAAAACAGTGGCAAACTACAAAGTTGTTTTCCTACTCTTTTTTTCCATATTGGACAACATGCCGCTCTCCAGAGAAACCTGAAACCACTTCTTATTGTCCATATCTGCTCGGAAGGACTCGCTCTATAGACCGGATTCTGTTGTTGTGTATCCTAAATAGTCTATGATCTTCTTTATCTGCATTGTCAGCTAAAAACAAAGAGGATACATCACCACAGTGACTGATTAGATGTTCCATTTATTTGCCTAACATTCAAATATTAGTCAAGTATTTGTGTAAACATTAACACAAAAAAACCTGTACACGATTGTCTGAGGACAAACCGAGTGCTGACAGCACAGAAATAAAAGAGCCAGCATGTTTTCAGTATTGTTAGATTGAATAACTAAATCTAACTAAATAATAATAATAACAATTAAAGCCAAATTACTGGCTGAAGGGTGGCACATCGGTCCGTGTCCACTCGTTTCCTTCTTGTAGTTGGTATGTGTGTGTGTGTGTGTGTGTGTGTTTCATGCAAGCAGATGTCTCTGGCTACACGTCAGCAGGTAAGGCAGGAAATACGAAGCGGTTCCGTCTTCAGGCATCAGTTCCAGGAACTCCGTGGGGCTTGTCTCCATGGCAACCACTACCAGCGTCTCTGTTGAATGAAAAACGGCAACATAAAATCCTCATCAGAGGTGATTTTATCTTCCTGAACATATTGAGAAGTTGTCTTTCTATTGGTGCCTACATTACTTACAGGGCTACGTAACTCGATTCACTCGGTTGAACAAACTGCGTTGCGGTTTAAACTGGTCTCTGCCAGTAATAAAAGTGAGTGGAGACAAAAGTTAATCCTTCACTCATCCCCATCCTTTTGTTCATGTGTTACACCCTGTGACCATAGTTGCCCTGCTGGAAACCACCGTGATTAGGATGCCCTTTTCAGATTGATGACTAACCTGAACAATATTTCTGTCATCGGTGGAAAGAGAAAACTTGGCAGTGTTCAATGTCAAGTCAAAAATGATTCGGGTAAACAAAGTCCTTTGAGTAAACCATGTCAAGAGGCCTTAACACTGTGGTACTTGACAGCAAGAAGTAAATTGACCCATGATATTTAGTTGCATTTCCTGTGAGCAAAAAACCCCAAATATTTTCATGGACTAGTGGTTTTGTTGACATTGATCCAAAGACTTGCTGATTGAGGAAGCAAACAGTTTTCTCCATGAAATATAACACACTGTAGAACATTTCAAAGGTTATACAAGTTTGAGGACACAACATAATATGGTTTTATTGTTGTTTTTTTTAACGGTTTAGGAAGTAAATCCGGTGGTGGACACTGCAGCGTACTATACACTTAGCTAGGTCCTGGTTTCAATAATCACAGCAGATGTTTGAGGGCTATTAACTGTTGGATAATAAATAACGTATAAGAGTACGGTCCACAAGAAGACACAAACCAATGTTAGGGAAGTGGCAAACTAAAAAGTCATTTTCATTTTGCGTATTGGATTTATAGGTTAACATTCCTGATGTTGTTCGGATGCCATTTTAGCCGCCTAACCTAAACAATATTTCTGTCATCAGTGAAAAGAGCAAACAAGTACTTTGAGTAGAATGTCAAGACGCCTTAACACTGGGGCACTTTTGACAGACTGACATACAGGTATTCTGAGGGAAGCTTCTACCTTTGAGAGCAGCCAACAGGATGCTGTTGTCAGCGGCAACTCTCGTCCTGTTACAAAGCTCTGGGAGCAGCTTCTGCCACCAAAGCACCTGCAGATATTAGACAAGACAGACAGGGTAATACCTTGGGTAAATCACTGCGTGTAGAATGCAGAACTAAACATTCAGACATAAAACTGGAGTAAAAATGTAAGACATTTACAGTTACAGGCCTACTGCGCAGTACGAACCATGTGACTATCTTGTAAGTGGTGGTTAGCGTAGGCTATGATGGCCTGAGGACATCGGTCCAGCAGCTTCTCGATGCTGCTGTCGTACTGCCCCCTTCTGGTGGCGCAGAGGAGGTGCAGGCTGAAGCCCCATAAGGTTTCGTCTGAAAGACGCTCCATCAGAGGCATGACGGAGCCCACTGACAGCGACGGGCCACAGAGGAGAGACTGCAGATGGACATAGGAATAAAATCACTGGACAAATGTGAGATGGAGAGAGGAGGAACAGCGGCTTAAAGTGGCAAGTGTTACCAAACAAACAATTAATAGATATAAAATCTAGAGGTTTTAGATATACAGAGTCGCTAAGTCTACATCGTCACACAAGCTCAGATTTTCTATTCATTTCTATATTCTCATGTATATTATTATATTTTATTTTTTTTTAAAAAGAGTGTATCCCCGAGTTTGTCCGATGTTTTGAAAGAATATTTTCCAGAGAGTTACGTGTTTTTGTTGTGGAAAGTTTTTTCAATTTATGTATTCATGTTTAGTAGGATTCAAAGACATTCAACTTTAAAGACAACATTTAATAAATATCCACATTTAAAAAGTACTGAGGACATGACCTCTGTGTCCTTCATAGTAAGGGAACTACTATTACAAGATTAGCCTTGACCATCAGGCTGTAATTTCAACATGTGACCAAAACAACAATTGCCATTTTATAGCGGAACTTGAAAGATTAATTTGGGTGAGAAAAGGTCTTGAGTCATTGCATTGCACTGTTGCTGTCATTGTCATTTCCGTAAATGTATTTCCTTCCTATATTACAGTGAAAACCCAAAAGTTACGCAGCTCTCATACAGATCATGTAAATAGCTGTATTGTTTCCTCCAACTAAACATGGCTCTATTCTTGGACCAGCATTCAAACTAATATCTGGTCAATGATCTCCTATATTCATAATATGACTACATACTCACTGAAACAATGACATGTATGACATATAGAATGAATATTGTTGTGTTCACAGACTAATTACCTGGAGTTTGTACAGCGCCTCCTGGTGTTGTGAGCTGGTTGTGTGCGCTGGATTGAGAACGATGAGCCACGGGTACAGAGCACCGTAATGGGAGCATGAGTTTATCTGAGATACACAATCAGGCAGGACCCTCAGTGAATGAAGTCCAAAAAACACATTCCTGAACATCCCGCTGGTTATACACTACGACGGCTGTCAGTTAAGGCCACGGGGCGCAGAGTCAAACCGAACACAAGCTGTGATATTGGAAACGAAGGGCAACAGCAGTCATCTTCAGCTACTGTACCAGATCGTCGGCGCTCTTCAGTGGCCTGCGCTTTGAAGGCGCGTGTGGCCCGTTGGTGTGCGTTTCCGAGGGTGTGTTTGTCAGTCGGTCGATGTAGACGGACGCCACTCGGAAAAGAAGTTCCTGGATGATGGTTTCCTGTGAGGACGCCATGAGCATTGCCTCCCAGAAATCCACCTGTAAGCAGTTCTCACAGTCCAGCTCCTGCACGCACACATATTTACTGCCATTATTTTCTAGATCTTCCATACAAGACGGATCAAGATGGACAAATTGTTGTCAGCTTGAAAACAACATAACAAATCCCTTGACTGTTTCCTTCTGGCCCCTTAACCTTGAATTACCAGGCGCTAAAAACACACAAACACACCTTGAATATGTGATCAGCGTGTTGCAGCTGGACTTTGTTGTTTTCATGTAAAGCCACCACGGCAGCCACCAGCAGTCCTGGTTGGGACTTTGCCAATTGGCGGGTCAAAGCTGTGGGACGGACGTGTGCGTGCTGACCTCCATCCCCGCCGTGCAGCAACAGCCTAGGTTCCTCGATGAACCCGTACACCAGCACCATCTGAACAAAACCAGAGAGGGCTGTGGGACAAATCTTAATTGTTGGATAACTATCATATAACTATCATTTGCTCCACACACACACACAACACCCGTACATCTCTAACTCAGCGTGCCTTTCCATCAGACGCGTGTACTCTGGCAGGTCTTCCAAGCGTAACATCATGGTTGCCATGGTGGTTGTCAAAGGAACAGACACGCCAGCTGTGTTTTCCAGATGTTGTAGGATTTGCAGCGTCTTGGCTGGACTGGTGTTTATCAGAGACGGGCTGGCACAAACACTGACAAGCTGCGAGGGCTCTGATTGGCTGAAAATGTCAATGACCTCATCAGCAGCCTCCTGCAGAAAATTAATTCTATAATTATTATCTTCTTTAGTTTCCATGTAAATTCATCTAATTCTGGACAACTGATGTTAAAATGTTTATTGGAAACTGACAGTTTTCAACATAATGATACCTTTAACACACATCTCTATCCGCCTTACATGATACAAGCAGCATGTGAGGGCGTTGTGCTCACCTGGCTGAGAACCTGCTCTGTTTCTTCAAACAGGTAATGTTTCAGGTAGAAGAGGAAGCCGGGGCCGTAGGACTGAGGCCTGCCGGCAAGTGGCCGGTTCCTGGCCATGAGCTCTGTGACCGACAAACCCGACATCCTGTAGTACGGCAGAGCCAGGTGGCACTCCCTCTGACTCCCCCTTACAAAAGCACGGAATTATTGCTAAAATATCTACAAAGCGCAACACTTGTGATCATCAATAATTCATTTAGAAAAGAAAGGCCAAAAATTCAAGGTATCTGAAGACGTCACATTGGGGTTCTTGGAAAATTCTGATGTTTTATAGATACAAAATAATAATAATAATAATAATAAAAACAAATAAAAAAAATATTAATTAATCATATTGAATCACAAATAGAAAATCCTTAATTGCCAAAACATATTTGTCATGTGCCAACTCAAACAGAAGCGACCATATTTAAAGTACATAAGTGCACATACCTTAATGACAGCCAATGCAATTATTGTTACATTAAATACATATAAAAGCTGTTTGAAGGGCTGTTTGTCTTCTTGCAAATTGTGTGCATGTGTGTGTGTGTGTGTGTGTGTG